GAGAGACGAAACGTTTCTACATTTTTTTGTTGATTTGCTTTATTTTGGGTTTTTTTGAATGTCCAGAGGACCAGATTTAACTTTTTTAGATAGTTTGATCTATGTATCTCTGTATTAACTTTGTGTATTTTGGGAACTTGTTTTTATATTAGGAAGAATAGGATTAATCAAAAACTTTATAATTCGGCCATTTAGTATGAAAGTACGGATTTATATCACTGATGGCCCTTACGGTCTCGAAAAAACAGAAATTACTGTAGATCCAGGCATCCATCCGGACATATTAGAGATTGAGCATTTTGCTCACGGGTGGTACTACTTTAGGCGGACAATGTATGAAACTAGAATGGATCTTTTGAATACACTTGCAGCAGAACTCGACCACTCAGAGGTCGGAAATCGTTTGGGGTTCAACTTAAATGGATGGCATTTTAAAAATTAAAGAGTTGTATTATGTTTTACATGCCATAAAGGCAAAGGGTAGAATGAAAGTTGCCTTTATGCCTATTCAAATGTATATTTTGTCAAAATTAAAGAGTTGTATTATGTTTTACATGCCATAAAGGCAAAGGGTGGAATGAAAGTTGCCTTTATGCCTATTCAAACATATATTTTGTGTGTGTTACTTTTCAGAATTAAATGTCAAAATTGCCATAAAAGGCAAGGGTGGAATGATATAGGAATGATTATTTTGATGCTTTTATGTCAATTTATACTTATACTCACTTTTGATGCAGCTTATCTGTCCAAAGTCAGGCCTGTGCTGCAGATGTGTTTTGGAGTAATTAAAGTCCTCCGGGGGATGCTCTAGCCTGGGATCTGGCCCATCTTAATGGTTACAGTGACCCAGAGTTTGATGTAGACAGGTCTTTCATCCACCCACACTTTGGGTTTGAAGGACATGTTTTTATGAGCCATCGCTCTGTTGCACAGACAGCTTTGATGATGGAAAACATGTTTTAATTAGATCTGTCCTCCTGACAATCATCAAACTTGTTTTTCACTGCTCTCACGTGATCCGGTCAGGGAGGGGTATATAGGAGGTGTAACAGGCAAGGGAAGTCCTGAAGTCTTGCTGAGGACCAGCGCACGGTGCCCAGCGCAGTTTGATGTGATTTACCTGTCATCGGGTCGAAAGGCTTCCCGACCACGTGTCACAGTGAGGGACTTTCATATCAATTTGTGTGTTAAGAGTGTACGAGTGTACATGTTTTTTGCTTGGCTGTTTTTCTGTGGCAGATTAATAAATGACACTATTATTTCAAGCAGGACAGTCTACTTGTGTTTCATTTTCCTATCGTGTGAATATCCGGTGCCGACTGTTCACGACCCCTGTTAAACTAATTTCATAATACATATATACACACATATACGCAAATATATATACACACATATACACATATATATATATATATATACACACACATTTACACATATATATACATATATATACACACACATTTACACATATATATACACATATACACATATTATATACACACATATATATACACACACACACACATATATATATACACACACACACACATATATATATATATACACACACACACATATACAGGTCCTTCTAAAAAAATTAGCATATTGTGATAAAGGTCATTATTTTCCATAATGTAATGATAAAAATGAAACTTTCATATATTTCAGATTCATTGCACACCAACTGAAATATTTCAGGTCTTTAATTGTTTTAATACTGATGATTATGGCATACAGCTCATGAAAACCCAAAATGCCTGTCCCAAAAAATTAGCATATTTCATCCCACCAATGAAAGACAAGTGTTTTTAATACAAAAAACGCCAACCTTCAAATAATCATGTTCAGTTATGCACTCAATACTTGGTCATGAATCCTTTTGCATGAATGACTGCTTCAATGCGGCGTGGCATGGAGACAATCAGCCTGTGGCACTGCTGAGGTGTTATGGAGGCCCAGGATGCTTCGATAGCGGCCTTAAGCTCATCCAGAGTGTTGGGTCTTGCGTCTCTCAACTTTCTCTTCACAATATCCTACAGGTTCTCTATGGGGTTCAGGTCAGGAGAGTTGGCAGGCCAATTGAGCACAGTAATACCATGGTCAGTAAACCATTTACCAGTGGTTTTGGACTGTGAGCAGGTGCCAGGTCGTGCTGAAAAATGAAATCTTCATCTCCATAAAGCTTTTCAGCAGATGGAAGCATGAAGTGCTCCAAAATCTCCTGATAGCTAGCTGCATTGACCCTGCGCTTGATAAAACACAGTGGACCAACACCAGCAGATGACATGACACCCCAGTGACTGTGGAAACTTGACACTGGACCTCAAGCAATGTGAATTCTGTGTCTCCTCTCGTCCTCCAGACTCTGGGACCTTGATTTCCAAAGGAAATGCAAAATTTACTGTAATCAGAGAACATAACTTTGGACCACTCAGCAGCAGTCCCAGGCGAGATGCTTCTGACGCAGTCTCTTGTTCAAGAGTGGCTTGACCTGGGAAATGTGGCACCTGTAGCCCATTTCCTGCACACGCCTGTGCACGGTGGCTCTGGATGTTTCTACTCCAGACTCAGTCCACTGCTTCCACAGGTCCCCCAAGGTCTGGAATCGGCCCTTCTCCACAATCCTCCTCAGGGTCCGGTCACCTCTTCTTGTTGTGCAGCGTTTTCTGCCACACTTTTCCCTTCCCACATACTTCCAACTGAGGTGCCTTGATACAGCACTCTGGGAACAGCCTATTCATTCACCAATTTCTTTCTGTGTCTTACCCTCTTGCTTGAGGGTGTCAATGATGGCCTTCTGGACAGCAGTCAGGTCGGCAGTCTTACCGGTATGTACCTTATTGCGGTTTTGAGTAATGAACAAGGCTGGGAGTTTTTAAAAGCCTCAGGAATCTTTTGCAGGTGTTTAGAGTTACGTCGTTGATTCAGATGTTTAGGTTAATAGCTTGTTTAGAGAACCTATTCATGATATGCTAATTTTTTGGGACAGGCATTTTGGGTTTTCATGAGCTGTATGTCATAATCATCAGTATTAAAACAATTAAAGACCTGAAATATTTCAGTTGGTGAGCAATGAATCTGAAATATATGAAAGTTTCATTTTTATCATTACATTATGGAAAATAATGACCTTTATCACAATATGCAAATTTTTTGAGAAGGACCTGTATATGAGCTTGTGGAGCTTGCTTAGAAATGGCTTCCTCTTTGCACTGTAGAGTTTCAGCTGGCAACGGCGGATGGCACGGTGGATTGTGTTCACTGACAATGCTTTCTGGAAGTATTCCTGAGCCCATTCTGTTATTTCCTTGACAGTGGCATTCCTGTTTGAGGTGCAGTGACGTTTAAGGGCCCGGAGATCACGAGCATCTAGTAGAGTTTTATGGCCTTGACCCATACGCACAGCGATTGTTCCAGATTCTCTGAATCTTTTGATGATGTTATGCACGGTTGATGATGATAACTTAAAAGTCTTTGCTATTTTACGCTGGGTAACACCATTCTGGTATTGCTGCACTATCTTTCTGCGCAACAATGGTGGAATTGGTGATCTTCTTACCATCTTGGCTTCTGAGAGACACTGACACTCTGAGAAGCTCTTTTTATACCCAATCATGTTGTCAATTGACCTAATTAGTGTTAATTGGTCTCCCAGCTGTTCGTTATATGCTCAATTTCCTTTTTCCAGCCACTTATTGCTACTTGTCCCAACTTTTTGGGGATTTGTTGACATTGTGAAATTTTGAATCAACATATTTTTCCTTTAAAATGTTACATTTACTCAGATTAAACTTTTGATCTGTCATCTATGTTATATTACGAACAAAATATTGACTTTTGCATCTCCACATCATTGCATTCAGTTTTTATTCACTATTTGTTTAGTGTCCCAACTTTTTTGGAATCCGGTTTGTATATATTTCTCTCCCCCCAATTCATATATTTATTTTCCAAAAGTCAAAGGAAGATTCACAGATTTCAGGGTTTACAACTTTTGGTAAAATTGGTATGAACTATAGTTGCCCATTTGTAAATTAATGTGGTCTTTTCTTTAGCCCTAAAATGTAAAAAAATATTAATAAGTGTCAAATGTCTGCATATATTTTTGTTTTATAATGTCATCCCCAATCGCCATAAAAAAAAACCCTTCATACAAAATTGAAGTGGCCCATGGGCCACCAGTTGATATCTTCAGATGTAGCAGGTTTTGCGGCTCTGGACACATTTTGGAAGCAAAGAGTAGAAATGGCTCTTTTGATCTAAAAGCTTGCAGCCTATTGGTTTATACACAACAAAAAAGTCAAGTTTGGGGAATATGGTTCCCTGATTTTTCTCAACAGACAAAAGAAATCTACAAAGTACATTTTCTTAAGGAGAAGGTGGTACACTGAGTTTATTCTTATAAACCAGCACCAATATAACAATTTTATTCAAGCATGTTCTCAGATTGTCTATACCTCTATGTAAACACAGTAATCAGTTTCTTATTACCAGTAGGTTGTTGCTATTTACCTCATAACCTCCCAGTTTGACTGTGACTGTCACGTCAATCGGATGGTTGACCACGCCCACCACTGATCTGACCAATGAAATGAAAAGGAGGGGAAACCAGATGATGCAGATTAAGAAGAAAATGATGAGTCCGCCCATGCCATATTTTACAATCTTCTTCTTCTTCTGTCCTTTAGGTTGTGGGTATTTCTGAAAAAACAAACCCAAAATATTTTTTAAAACATTTATAATGTGGGGACTTGTTACCAAGAGTTTTAGGATTAATGCTGTTGAACAATGACATTTTGCAATGGTTGGTTAGTTTACTCTTTAATTTCAGTAAGCCACCTCAGTAAAAATCTGACAAATGATCCCACTCAGTGTGTTGTAGCTCACACATGTCACACCTTTTCTGTCTCACGGCTGCATTTTATGATAAAGATGTTGGCGTAAATGTCCTCAACACACATCCAGTCTGACAGAGACAGAGTGGTATCGGTCCAAACCCAGTCCATAACTGCTCGCAGCTCCACCAAAAATGGCACCAGACGAAACCTATGCACAAAACATACAAGCACATGACCAAAGCCATATCAGACTGTTCTTTTTTGTATTATATAAAGACAATAACACGTTCCTCTAATAACTACTAATTTGTTTCCGTGGATTTTCTTGAAAGTAAAAGTGTTGTTTGAAATTAAGCCCAAAACCGTGAATTGAACAGACATACACAAGTGTGAGAGAGATAAGTGCAAACTATAACATACCCTTGGAAGAGAAACAAGTTGAGGTGATTGTATTTCTTGGTGAGGAAGTTTCCGAGGATACGAGTGGGGTAACCACAGCGAATCTGATAGGCTGACAGGCCAAAGTAAATGCACTTTACAAAGTACCAGAGCTGAGCCACAAAGTTCTGATTAAACATCCTAGAAATAAAAAGGAAACAAAATTATTATGGAAATTCAAGCTTATGATTATTTTAGTTTCTATGTAGTTATTTGCAAGTGAAAAATGGAAGCTGTAGAAGCTAACTGTTAACTGCTAACTCTTCTGGTGCAGCCGAGGGTTCAATCTGGCAGGAATTGCTTTACATTTCTGCCACAATAACAGTATAACGCTAAACAATGGTGGTGTAAAGGTTTATGAATCAAATTTGTACAAACTGCTGTGAAACTTTTAATATTAGAGTTAAGATGTCAGCTTTGGTCTTTATCATGACCAAAGTAGCCACTAGGTTGTCAGTTTAGTCCAAATAAAACTTTATTTATCCAAAGTGATGTTGTTCAAAAAGCTAACTGCAACAGGTGTAAAATACTGTCAAATGTTGGAAAGTTTCCACAAAGATGCAATTTAAAAGATCATATTTGTCTCTTTAATTCTGTTTGAAACTCATCATTGATGCACCTCGACCTTTAGAGTTAGACAACAAGGTTCACCAAAAATCAAACGCGTGCAAAAAAGATCAATGATGCAGATGTTGGGCCATAGAAAGCGTAAATGTGTTGATTTAATTTGACATCACCTTTCAGTGACACCAGGCAGGATGAAGAACATCCACAGGTGAATCCCCAGAACAAGAATCATCTGTAGATGAAGAATGTTTACAGTAAAACAAAAACCTACAAAATAAATCACTTTAAGAAATATAACAAGAAACTGCAAACTGCTCTAAAGCCAACTTTATTTAATTTGAACAGTTTATTTTATTTTATTAAACTTTATAGGATATCAGCCTCATGTACTGGCAGAACAGGGACATATTCTGCCTTTGAGGACTTATAGTTCAAACAAACCAACCTGAAAAATGAGTTTTCCCAGCACAGCCTTGCGCAGATACAAGGCTCTGTCAATGATCATGGTGCTGAACTGGATAAGCAGCATGACCAGGAAGGCCTCAGGTACCTGGTCTTCTGATAGAGTGGAGGCGATGTCTGCTGCTGCGCTATGTTTCTGAGGAAAAAACAAAAGACATCATTGATTTATATTTTAAACCGTTTAGTCATGATGCAGGAAGTGAGGAAATCCATCCATCCATCCATTATCTTTTACCCGCTTCTCCCATTTTGGGTCACGGGGGTACTCCCTGGACAGGTTGCAAGTCCATCACAGAGACACATAGAGACAAACAACCATTCACTCTGTCACTCACACCTAGGGACAATTTAGAGTTACCAATCAGCCTAACACGCATGTTTTTGGTCTGTGGGAGGAAACCGGAGTACCCGGAGAAAACCCACGCATGCACGGAGAGAACATACAAACTCCACCCAGAAAGGCCCACGGACAGGGATTTGAACCAGCAACCTTCTCGCTGAGAGGCAGCAGCTCTACCAGTTGTGCCACCGTGCTGCCCAGTGAGGAAATCAAAGTTTAAAAATATATTAAAAAACATTCAAACCTGATTTGTGTTTGGACTGTTTTTGTCCTGTTGAACTCTCTGAATTGTCAAAAATAAAAGCTTCATCCAAACCATCCACGTCTGCTAGATCACAGCTCAACCAGACTGTTTAAAGACGTATTTCCCTAAATTAATAACCACGTCTTAGATCTGCTTAATTTGTCTTTAATAAATGGTTATGTACCACAGAGCTTTAAGATCGTTGTAATTAAACCTTTATTTAAGAAATATAACATTGACTCAGGAATCCTAGCCAATTACAGGCCTATATCTAATCTATGCTTGAGAAAATAGTTGCTGGTCAGTTGTGTGAACATCTGAACAGAAATAATCTGTTTGAAGAGTTTCAGTCAGGTTTTAAAGCTCACCACAGCACTGAATCTGCAGTGATAAAAGTTACTAATGATATTCTCATGGCCTCTGACAATGGACAGGTGTCTACACTGGTCCTGTTAGACCTCAGTGCTGCATTTGATACAGTTAATGCCTCAGGATTCCATCTCTGATCTTTGCAGATGATGTGGTCTTGTTGGCATCATAGTGCCATGATCTTCAGCTCTCACTGTGAAGCTGCTGGGATGAGAATCAACACCTCCAAATCTGAGGCCATGGTCCTTGGTCGGAAAAGGGTGGATTGCTCTCTCCAGATCAAGGGTGAGGTTCTGCCTCAAGTGGAGGAGTTCAAGTATCTCGGGGGTTTTGTTCACGAGTGAGGGAAGAATGAAGCGTGAGATTGACAGATGGATTGGTGCAACATCTGCAGTATTGTGGACTCTGTACCAGCCCATTGTGGTGAAGAGAGAGCTGAGCTGTAAGACAAAGCTCTCTGTTTACTGGTCAGTCTAAGTTCCTACCCTCACCTAGAGTCACAAACTCTGGTTAGGGATTCATGAGTCTAACAGCCTCAGGGTAGAAGCTGTTCCTCAGTCTAGTGGTTCTACACTTAATGCTCCTCAACCTCCTTCCTGAGGGGAGTGGGGCAAAGAGTGGGTGTGCTGGGTGAGTGGGGTCCTTCATGATGCAGGTGGCCCTCTTTCTACATCTGGAGGTGTAGATGTCTGTGATGGTGGGGAGACCGACTCCAACAGACTTCTGTGCAGCCTTCACCACTCTCTGCAAAGCTTTTCTTTCTGCAGCTGTGCAGCCTCCATGCCACACGTTGATGCTGGAGCACAGGATGCTCTCCACTGCACACCTGTAGAAGGAGGTGAGGACTGAGCTTCCCAGACCAGCTCGTCTCAGCCGCCTGAGGAAGTAGAGTCTCTGATGAGCTTTCTTGATCCGACTGGTGGTGTTGTTGCTCCAGCTGACGTTGTCATTCAGGTGTACACCCAAGTACTTGTAGCTGGAGACCACTTCCACCACAGATGCTCCTATGTTCAAATGGCTGTGGAACAAGATGTCTGGGACTCCCTGCTCAAGCTGCTGCCCCCACGACCCAGTTTCAGAACAAGTGGAAGATAATGGATGGATATTTACATATATCCTAATCCTCCCAGCTGAGACGCTGAAATGCGTCATTAGGTCGTCGCTGGTAAAGGCACCGAGGCGGTGTGATGTTTCCCCTTTTACTGAACTGTTTAGACTGTTTTTAAACTGTTTTGAACTGTTTTGCCAATGGGTTTTCTGTCACATGCATAAAGCATCATTACAAAGATTGATTTTGATAATGTAATAAAAATTCATAAACAGGGGAAGTGTCAGAGAATTTTCAGACAAGGGTAACGAATGTTTTATTGGGTGTTTATATTGTGGCTGAGAAACATACACTGCCTGGCCAAACAAAAGTCGCCACCTAGATTTAACTAAGCAAATAGGTACGAGCCTCCTATTGTATAATTACTGCATGGGTGATTATCTTTCAGCTGGTAACAAATTATTTAACCCCAAATGATGCAACTTCTCATTTCTTAAACAATCATGTCAAAGATGCATCGCGTGGTCGTGGAAAAGATGTCAAGTCTGTTGGAGAAGGGTCAAATCATTGGCATCAAGCAGAGAAAACTTCTAAGGAAATTGCAGAAACGACTAAAATTGGGTTAAGATCTGTCCAACGCATTATTAAAATCTGGAAGGATAGTGGGGACCCATCGTCTTGAGGAAGAAATGTGGCCGGAAAACAATCCTGAATGATCGTGATCGGTGATCACTTAAACGTTTGGTGAAATCAAATCAAATAAAAACAACAGTAGCACCCAGGGCTATGTTTAATAGTGAAAGTAAGAGCATTTCCAAAATGTGAAGGGAACTCAAGGAATTGGGACTGAACAGCTGTGCAGCCTTAAGAAACCACTAGTCAATGAGGCTAACTGGAAAAAAGGCTTCAATTTGCTAGGGAGCATAAAGATTGGACTCTGAAGCAATGGAAGAAGGTCATGTGGTCTGATGAGTCCAGATTGACCCTGTTCCAGAGTGATGGGTGCATCAGGGTAAGAAGAGAGGCAGGTGAAGTGATGCACCCATCATGCCTAGTACTTATTCATCAATGCAAGATCTTAGTGAAAAATTAATGCAACACTGGATGGACATAGATCTTGTGACATTGCAGAAGTTTGTTGAAACAATGCCACAGTGAATGCATGCTGTAATCAATGCTAAAGATAGTCCAACGAAATATTAGTGTGTCCTTTTTTTTTATGGCAACTTTTTTTGACCAGGTAGTGTATTTCCCTCTGCCCTGAGAACCTGCTGTCTACAAAACAATTTCTTATCTCCGAGGAGGCCGAGTCGTAGTGCCTCCTTTGGCGCTGTCACCATGAGAACATTCCCAAAACATTCCCTTACCTCCACCTGGAGGCCAGCTCGCCAACGGCCATAGATCATGTGTATGAAGCTGACTGGCTAGAGGAGGAAATGCCCACTAAACTGCTGTATAAAAATCTGTAGATTACTCTATTCAATGCTGATAATGTGACAATGTTCTCATGCATATGCATTTATGTATCTATGTATGTAACCTGTCCTGAATGCAGTCCTTGCAAGTAAAATGCTGGTTAAAAATCTTCAACTGCCGTTGAGTGTGGTTCTTTTGGAAAAACAACGTGAGAATTTTTCCAACAAACACCCATGCACTAAATGATTGACTTCAATCATCCAAGACAGACTAGACCGAGAAAAAAAAAAAGTAGAATTGTGCCCCCAAACACTACAGAACCTCATGACATGTCCTCCTGCCATCTGGACTCAGGTTTTAGACTCTTTACAGCACCCTGTATCATTCTGCACCCTAACAACTGGCATCAGCAAGAGAACTGGTTCACTCTCCTGTGTCTAGGCTGCCATTAATACCAAAGCAGAGACGGCCGAGGTTAGAGAGGTGCCATAACCAGGAGATGTGTGTCTGTGAAATGTCTGCATAAAGTTGAGGTTTTCCTGTGGTCAGTCAGAGGTCCTCAATCTTTCCCCAATCAAACACGCATGAGATCAGCTTGGATGTGAATTCTGACCCAGTTCCTTGATCTGCTGCACCTGGAGGATCTGTTACAACAGCTGTGGTCCAAATGTCTCAGAAGAGGATGCAGGATCCATATGTATGACTCTATTCTGCACAGAATCATTTCTTGTATACAGGCCCAAGGGGACGAAGAGCCCCACCCTACTGACATGGAACCAAACGCTCATATTGTTACAATTTAGTCTGACATTAGAACCACTGTAGTACAATCTCAAAAGGGTTTCCACATATGAAGAAACAAGATGAGTTACATGTTTTTTTTTTTGTCATTGATCAGTAATAAAAACAAATAAAAATACACATCCCTTTGTTATATCACAAAAATCCAACACTTTTTCAAAATGCTCATTTGTCTGTTGTTACTAATCCACATGTTGGTCCTTTAAGTTTTTGTCTGTGTTGCTTTTTTAACTATGAATTAGAATAAAAGAAGATAAAAAGTTATAGAATTGAATTTATGTTGTCCTAATATCTGATGGGAAAGATGTTCAAGCATGTTTGTAATGGCCCTACATGAGTTAAAGTATCTTTAAACTCATCACTCAAACACTTTCTATCTTTTGCTGTATGAATGTTTCTGTAAATCTTTAATTAAGGCACACTTGATGGCATGTTTTATAACCATTCATCCATCCATCCATCCATTTTCTTTACCCGTTTATTCCATTTTGGGTCACGGGGGTCGCTGGTGCCCATGTCCAGCAATCACTGTGCGAGGGGCGGGGTACACCCTGGACGGGTCGCAAGTCCATCACAGGGACACATAGAGACAAACGAGACAAACAAACATTCACTCTCTCACTCACACCTAGGGCCAATTTAGAGTTACCAATCAGCCTAACATGCATGTTTTTGGTCTGTGGGAGGAAACCGGAGTACCCGGAGAAAACCCACGCATGCACGGAGAGAACATGCAAACTCCACCCAGAAAGGCCCCCGGACCGGGGTTTGAACCAGGGACCTGCTCGCTGAGAGGCAGCAGCTCTACCAGTTGCGCCACCGTGCTGCCCATGTTTTATAACACCTTATCTTAGTTTAAACTTTAAAGGCTGTTATAAATGTGTAGTGAACTTAACCTGATGTCAAAACTAAGCCTAAGGTCAAAACCCTTGACCTTAAGAACCTTGTGGGACAGAAACTGTCATTTCATTGATTTGAATCCAGAAATACAGGTTCACCCCTCCTGAGACTTTCTTTCTTGAAAATTCAAGTGAAAGAACACTCTCTTTTCTATTATCATTCCTGTTTTACAAACGTTTGATAATCAAAGTGTTTTAGTTCAAACATTTTAGATGTTACAGTGAACTAATCAATTTTATTAACTGTAAAACAGTAACAATGATTTTTTAATCCTCATGCAAAGTTAGAATTCCTGTTAAGGCCTGTTACAGAGTAATCATGTATTTTCTGATTTCTGTCTTTGAATGAGCAAGTGTAAGTTTTGTCCAAGGTCGGAGTCGAAGCAGACATGTGTCTTGTTTTAAAATCCTCTCAGACGTAAACAGAGGAGTTGGCACCTGTTTCTCCAAACTCGCCAAAATATTTCTCTCGCCTGTCTGAGAACAGTTTTAATCTGTTCCATAACAATTCTTGCTGTTTTCTGACTTCTAGTAACCTCTTACATCACAAAACACACCCCTGTCTGGTTGATATTGACCAATCAGGGACGCTCAAATATACCGGAAATAGAGCTCTTTAAAATGCCGGTACTTCCTAGTTCTCTCAGTTCGGTGAGGCGCGGAGAAGTTCTGAGATGTTCGCAGTTCTGTGAAGTCGTTTGGGAGAACAGAAGTCCAGCCATGATAAGGCTCTTCCGAGTTTGGATTATAACATCTTCCACCTCTGAGTGGAAATTCTGAAGGACTCCACTCATGTGAAGTCCACTGGCTGAGGTGAGCTTGTGTCGGACGGAATCTCGTCACTACTTCGGACGAGTCACAGCCATCCTATGGAGACGCTGGACAGGTAGCGTTAACTGGAACTCCATATCTGCTGATTCATCTTCAGAAAGGTAATGAGTCAAGTTTCCTACCAAGCGTACCGAGGAAAAGCTGGGTTCGAATGGAGAGTATCGGTTCTGGTCAACACTCCCCCTCACACACCATCTTTTACTCCCTTTAAACTTCATTTCCATCTTTAAATTCTTCTCTCAAGTAGAAATCCTTCCAGATAATTTAGAAATGTCTGTGTAAAGTGCTCATCCACCGCCGTGTGGATAATTGATCATAATTGTACAGTTTTCATTAATGTCTGTGGTGAAGCAACGGAAAATCATGACCGTATGGTTTTCCTGGTTGTAAAGCTGTTTAATTATGTTGTTATTTTCATATTTTGCCAAATTAATGTAAATGTTTGATGTTAAACTTTGATTCTGTAAAATAAATGACCGCATTCATTTTGATGGGTCAAAGATAAATGACGTCTCACGTTACATTTCATTAAATTCAATGCACGTTTTATTCAGTCCAGAAAAATGAAGAATCCGTTTTAATTGATGAATATATCACAGCATCTGTTCATCTACAAATGTGCCAACAAACGTAAAAAAGATAAACGCTCTGGTGCTGCCTGTAAACCTTTATTGTTTGGAATAATTCTACACAAACATTAAAGTTGTCTTAAGAAGACTTAATTCTTAATTAATTCTTTATTCTTGTCTTCATTTACTTAATTATTTAAAAGCTAACCTTTTTTTTAATTTTATATCAGAAAAGAATGAGATTTCTTTTTACCATAAATGTATTAATCTCTTACCCCAAAAGCCCAGAAACCAAAGATGATGATGACAAAGTCAATGACATCAGTCAGGAACATCAGTGCATAAACATCTGTGGACGCGCGATACTCCGATCGGATAATATTTCTGAAGAAACCCTGAGCCGGCCTCTTGACACTCTGAACACTGCAGGAAGACAAAACATACATTAACCACTTAAAAAAAAGCTATTATTATACATTATTTTAATTTGCTCTCAAAGCTAGAACTAAAATAACTGTACTGTATTGCAGTTTGGTTTTGACGTGCATTTAGTGAAATCCAAGTTTGTCTCACCCTGATGTCAAGACGTGTTTAATCTTGTGTCCCACTGCCAGTAATCTGAGTTTGGCCTCTGTCCTCCTGCCTTTTCCTTTTTTCTTCTTCAGTTCCTCACTGGTATCTGCAGATTCTGCTGGAGGGTCCACTGCAGAAACAATGCAAACTAATGAACGACCAAACAGACTTGTTGCAACAGAAAGAAGAAAACTTCCTAAGCATTTGAGGCTTCACTTGACAAAGACTGACGATTTGGATTTTGATACAGCTAATTACTATTTGCTTGTTAGGGCGGCTGTGGCCGAGTGGTTAGAGCAGTTGTCCTCCAGTGCAAGAGTTGGGGGTTTGATTCCACCAGCAGTCACATGCTGTAGTGTCCCTGGGCAAGACACTGAACCCCTCATTACCTCCGATGTGTGTCCCATCGGCGTCTGAATGTGATCTAAAGTACTGATTAATCTTTGTATAGATCTAGTAGAGTGCTGTATGAATGGGTAAATGAGGCACAGATTGTTGTAAAGAGCTTTGAGTATCTTGATAAGATAGAAAGGTTTTATACATGTACAGTCCATTTACCATTTTATCATTTGTTATTCTTCCATTTCATTCATGATTTTAGATTTGCTCACTTTCAGCACTAACAGTGCAATTAAAAATATTGTGTTTTGACTTTTGGTAGCAGTACGTCGTATGAAACGGATGAAATATGTAAGAAAACTTTTGTGCAACTGATCTGCATTTATGAAGCACATTTTAATAAAGACAAACCTTTGTTGTGTTTTTCTTTGGACTTCTTGTTTTTTTTACGGATCCTAATGTTGCTGCCTCTCTTTGGACTTTCCTTGGTCACTTGGTCACTGTCTTTTTCCTCCTTGTTCACAGAGTCCTCATTCTTCCTCCTAGAATGCAGTTCCTCTCCATCTTTTGACTCAGCAGTCTCTGGATCAGCTTCAAGGGGGTGCACTGATGTAGCAACAGAGCTGGTACTCGGTTCAAGACAGTCTTCATCATCCTGAACAGAATTTAAATAACGAGGACCCAACTCTTTAAAATTGCATTATATTAGCTGATAAGATGTGAAAGCCTTGTCCCATAGTAAGGACTATTATTTTATTTAAGTGTTAATTTCCAAATGTCAAATGTTAAATATCTGCACCGACCTGCTCAAACGGGTTCTTTTCAATCTTGTCCAAGTCTTCCAGGGTGGAAGAAGTACTAAATGTATAACCCTCCCCCGTTACTTCTTCTTTTTCCTTTTTCTTCCTTCCATTTCCCTCTTTAACATTTTTTCCACGTTCCTTTGAAGAGCTTTTCTCATCCAGGGGGCCCTCGTGGTCCCACAGACCATATTGCTGCAAACAAACAAACAAACAAACAAACAAACAAACAAACAAACAAAGTGCTGTTTAATTAAACAGTCTACAGAGGAATCCTCAGAAAAGATTATTCTTTGAAATTATTTACCCACAGTATTTTGAACACTCCTGTTACAAGGTCAGGAGAGTTAAAGGGATATTCTGGCCATTTCCACATGGAGTTCAGAGAGTTTTGCACTTTCCTTTCTATTGAAACATACATTAGCTAACAGAGAGAATAGACTATGATACTTAAAGGCAATACTTCAAAACCACAAGCTTGCGAGATCTGTTAGTGCTCGGTGTACGTGTTGAGGATGACGCTCAGCTACAATTATAGTTTGATATCCGTACAGCTAACTGAGTTGTAGTCATTGTTTGCTAAGGCTGATTATCTGTGGAAGCCATCTTGAATCAAGTTGATACCAAAAGTTAAGTTGTTATTTTCAGTTTCATTAAAATTCATCTAGGAAATATTTTGCTAACAGACGAACAAAAACACGCAAACAGGCAAAAACATGCTGAGTTCAGTTTTTCCTTGTTGCTGAACAGTGATTACTGCTGTCACCTCACAGGTTACAGGACCAAATCTTGGCAGCAGTATTTTTATTTAGAGTTTGAGTGTTCTCCAAGTGCATGCTTGGGCTTTCTACAGGTACTCCAGTTTCCTTCCACAGTCTAAAAACATGCCTCTATGTGACCCTGTGATGAACTGGAAACCCGTCGAGGGTGGACCCCACCTTTTGTCCACAGTCTGCTGCTGGAGGCGTCTGCTCTCCTGCAACCAGGAACAGGGGTAAGTGCTTATAGAGGATGACTGATGAGTAAATTGACCCTAGGTATGAGTGTGCATCTCTGTGATCTGTCACGAGTGTGCCCCGCCTCGGGTCTGTTGACTGCTGGGCTTCACCCCCTGTGACCCTGAAGATCAGGTACAGAGATTGAGCAATAGTGAGTTACAGTTGTTTTTCTTGGCCTGACCCGTTCTGCAGCTTTTCTGATCCAAACCAACAGGTTTTATTTGACTAAAGAGTGTGGGGACAGTATCTACCAAGTTTAATTTTAGTTTAAAATTTTGAAGGAGCAGCATAAAAATGGAGGTGGAAACACAGCAGAACAACGTGCAGGGGTTGTGGTCAGGGATGAATAAGATCATCAGCTTTAAAGTCAGGGGGCTCTCATAATGAAAGCCAGGAAAGATGAGCTGAACATGTTTTTCAACAGGTCTCTGCAGAGAATGCTCAGCATTCACTCTCCTTCACCCAGCATGAGCCCACAGCCTCCCTGTCACACACACACTTCTCTGTTACAAACCTTAATATAGCCTTGTCATCATCAGGCCTCATCATAGGAAACAGTGGGACCTTCACCTCTTCATACTTTCTTACTCTAAACGTTCCAGAGACCTTGTCTCATCTTCATCCATACATTATAAAAACAGGCCCCAACTGCGTTGAAACCTTGAAATTATGTTTGGGTGTCCTGGACATTTCCACATGAACCCTGCTTTTCTCTGTTAAAAACATCCAATCTCTGTATTATCTATTAAGGACTGCTCAGTTCTGGAAAGAGATCTCTGAGGATGTTCCTGGGATCTGTTCTGCTGGAGCCACTTTCCCAGTTTGGGGGCCACCGCCCCAAGTGTTCCTGCTTGTAACCTTCTCTAGATGTGGACCCCCTTGGGATGAGGATGGCATGGATTAAAATTCTCTGTTGCCGTGATGAATTTCCATCATTTTGAATGTGGCCAGGACAGACTTCTGTCTTCTGTCAAAATGGAGGGGAAAAAAATGTGTGCTTTGTTGTGGTCACTTTAAAGCCATGCAGTCTACTGATGACACAGGAATTAAAGTGACACAGCTTTCTACCAGTAAAGAGAACCAGAGCCACAGTTTGACCCAGTCAGAGCAGAGCAGCAGGGTGGGTCCTGCTGTCTGCTTCACAGTGAGCCCGGGTGTGAGCAGAGAGAACCTGCAGGTGAAAGCTCACCTGCAGCAAGTCCAGGAGGACACCTCACTACACTAACAGGACCGCCCACCCCTTCATGAGGATGATGATGTAATAATTTAGTAAATGTTCACATGTGACCAATTCACAGCAGCCGAGGGAGAAACCAGAACTGATACACCATCTCCTCCTGCACCGCACCCCGACCTCCCAGGACTTTTGTATCTAAAGTCTAACTTTGTATTAAATGTTAATGTGTTGGGAGTGTCGTCGTCATTGTACAGACATGTGCAACCTGTGCGTGAGAGCAAACTCTGGGTCAGAGAAAGCGAGAGAGGGACAGATAGAGACGCTCACTGCCCCGGGAGTGCGCAGCCTGTTGAGTTTCTCTCATGGCAGGAGAGGCTGTTTCTATTGCTTTACTTCTTATAATTAAATAATGTTAATGCTAAATGATGAATGGCCCAGATTATAGTAGAGATGTGTGTCTCTGTTTAACTAAATTTTCCTCCAAACTCACGAAGTTCTCTCAGAGTCAGTTTCAGGTGTTTTGTAGTTTATCATAAATATCGAAATAAATTCATTTCTACGAGGCAGCTGTGATAGCATTAACAAGATGTTTTGACTGTTTGGATCTACAACACTTGATTGTAATTAAAAACACACTGAGAGGTAACTGTACTGTGATAAATGTAATGTATTAAATTATCCAATATGAAAAATAAATAATTTAAATATAATCTCTTTGAATTAAATAATTTCAAGAGAGAAATCTGTCAGTCTGGCAAATAACTAAATCATTTTAAGTTAATTTATACTCTGCAAAGACTTCCTGTGTTATAATGTAAAAATTATATATCTGACAAACTTCAACTGAAAACACAGAAATGATATTAAAGTAAACCACAGAAGTTATCCAAACCCTCTTTTCTTTCAGAAACCGTTGGTCTTGACGGTGCAGGTTATTTACAACTTCAATGCTTCATTAGAGTGTGTCTGTGTACTTTTACTAAGGTCATGTACACAGTGTACTCCTCTTTACGTGAAAACCTTTTGAGAAGTGACCCATATGCAGGAAAAGTGTGGAATGCGGATGTGGTGGTGGTGGGGGGCTTGGGTAACCTCTAGATCAGGGGTCACCAAACTTTTTGAGTCTGAGATCTACTTCAGTGGGACCGAGAGACACAAAGGGCTACTTGTTTGATTCAAACAAATTTGCATGGCTGACCTTTAATTATAGTATAATACATTTACATACATGTGAGTAATATGACCGCCTGATCACATCGATCTGATCTGTATTATTAAAAACTCCCCACAGTGATCATCAGTAAGGACTTAGCTTGGTAAATATGATCCGTTATTATTGATAATTAGTGATTAGAACTCTCAATTGAGAACTTGAGTCCTCAGTTTGAATCTCTTTTTGGTTCTTCTGTGTGACTGTAAATTGTTCCTAGCTGTGACTGGGAGTGTAGATGGTTGTTTGTCTCTTTGTCTGTCTCTGGGACAGACTGGAGACATGTCCTGGGTGTCCCCTGCCTTCACCCAAAAGCAGCGGAGATGGGCTCCTGTCCCAAACAAAGGGGACAAAACGGATGATTTACTACAGCAGAAAACTGATATTTAAACATAAATTACCATTTCTTTTATGTTAATCTCAATCAATAACATTTGAAATTTTGTATATTTTATAAATATTTTATTAACTGTTTTGTAGGAATGAACACGTTTGTAACATTCATTCAAAATATGCCTTTTACTATTAACAACTTCTATAACATTTTTAATAACCTATCAACAATAAAATCTTTCAATCAAGCCCTGTTTGTACCAACTGTTGTGTTTATAACACTTCAGAAGAACTCCAACTTGTAGATACAAATGATCAGTAATGTAAAAAACAAAGTGACATTTTAAATGAATCATGTGACATTAGTATTGATCCTCAGATCTGCAGCATTTTTAATAATACTTTATTTATAAAGCCCTTTAAAATAACCACAGCTGCAACAAAGTGTTGTACATATAAAATCATTTTAACTGATCATCACATCTTTTACTCTTAAATAAATTATTTTTCACATATTTCATCATTGCTTTTTTCAAGACCTCATCTGAAAATGCCTCATGAAAATCATCTGCCATGTAAGCCTTTAACTCTGACACTCTTCTTCCTGTTGTGAGACACCAGGGGGTAGTTAGCACTGAAGCTAACATGTTAGCTGGTGACGTGTCACTCCATGTTGTTTTGCTGTCGCCACAGCCACTAATGAGACACAGACACACTTGTCTTTCACAAATGTAAAAAGACCTCTTCCTCCCAGTCACTGTGAACATGTTTTCTTGTGTTTTTCTGCCATGTTAACCTCTTGGAGGTAAAACTACCTTGTAGCTGCACCGCTGCAAACATGGGAGTGGTCTACGCATGATTCTGAACTTTGACCCCAGACAAGATTGCAAAACTGTATACGTAAAACTATTTCTTTTTTAAATTTGTATTAATCATTTTCATTTCAAGTACACATCCTTTCAAATGTTATTCCTTAAATTTAAAAATATAATTAATGATGATTTTTAGGCGGTGCTCCTTGATCATGAGTGCTATTTTTAGAACATGCCCGTGGGCAACTCATATAGTCCTTGCGGGCTACCAGGTGCCCGTGGGCACTGCGTTGGTGACCTCTGCTCTATATGTAGAAAAATTTTCAGTCAAAATATTTTTTTCTGCTTGAGTCTCTGGGACGAGGACCCTTTCACTGTGCTTTGGTGTTCTTGCTGTTTAAAAGTTCCTCCATGATGTGCTTCAGTCCAGCAATCTCAAGTAATTAGTCAACTGTCTGAACTTGCTTGGTCCGGTTCAGGGTCAGTGAGCGTCTGTCACCGTGCACAAACACACTCAGAAGACCAACAACCACGCTTCTTCACGCTCATGCCTACAGGCCATTTAGAACCACCAATGAAGCTAACATGCATGTTGTAGGACTGTGGGAGGAAACTGGAGCACCCACTGGAAAATCACATGCACAAGGTGAAAATACAATCTCTGCTCAGCTGTTGTTTAAAGCAGTCTTTCTTACTATGAGAAGTGCCAACCAAAAGCACTCAGCACTTCTAAAGCACAGCAACTATTAGACAATGGGTGGATGTGTTGTCACAATGAATCCAACATTGCCTCATCGCTTCAGGTGCTCAGAAGCATGATTAAAACTTTTCTTCTGTTTGCACACTTAGCATTATATACATCCTCAAATACATACAATTACAATTTATAATGGGGGTTGTGAACTTTTCAACACGTAATGTCAAAACAAACTGACCATCAGTAGAGATCTATGGAAGAACAGAACCAGCAGCTGAAGTAGATCATATCGGATGTAGTTGTCGGTTTTCTCCAGGCCGAAGATGCGTGGTGGGAAGAAAGGTTTGTCCTTATTCAGAGTCATCTCATACACACTGTTCCAAGGGAAAAATCCAAACTGGAAGATGTATTTCAGAACCACCATCACCTGGGGGGAGGCAAAACAGCAGACCAGTTCTATCTGTCAGTAACTACATGAAGGTTGTAATGACCTGTCTACTGAACTCATGTAATTAAATTACAGCGTAGTTAAAAGTCAATGTGGCTCTTTTTGTTTAAATACTGTTTTATGTCTGACAAGCTTTAACTCACTCCATATGCATGTATGATTAAATCTACTTGTATGACACAAACCTGTTGTTTTTTGTGAACACTCCAAGTAGATGTGAATTTAACGAAATACAAAAAGGGACTTGTCTTATTGCTAGGTGTGATAAGCAAAACTATGTTTGCACCTTCACTTTAAAAAAAATGTGAGCACACCACCTGCTGTATTCATCAGGCACCCACGAACAACAAAAGGAGGCAGCTGCGGTCCACGTTTAGATCAGTGGGGTCGGGTGGGAGGGATGGCAATATTTTGGGCATTTATTTTTTATTCCAATATTAGAAACGTTTTGTGAAACTAAAATAAGAAAATAATCCTACAAAGTTCGTATTTCTGACCTACAATGGTGTAGAGCCAAACAAATAAATAAATAATTAAATGAATGTAAGTGTGTGCATGTGTCACTTAAAGTTCATACCTCTGTGTAGACTATGGCGGTCATCCAAAACCTCTTAGTTGGTCTTGGAACAGACAGCATAGCCCAGAGGAAGACCAGCATGGGCAGGACCAGCGATATGACGGAGGCACTGACCACATTGTTCAGTACGATGATGAAGTAACAGACCAGCTCGGAGTTGGCTGACAGCACGGTGTACATGGACAGCAGCAGCTTCAGCAGACGGTTCTGGTTGTTGAAGAACTCTTTGCTTTGCTCCAGCTCCTCGATAAAAAAATGCCTGATGGAAACAAGATATGAATCTTGTGTTTTAGCTGTTGTTGCATCCATCACCTCACTAACCGTTAAAACCAAAGATCAGAAGTAAACACAAATATTTTTAATAAACTATTGTTTTGGCTCGGCGAGTGTTGATGGGCTTACCTGTCTGACAGGATCTCACTGGCTGTTCTGGAGTGTCTGTGTGGTTTGAATGGTTGTAATCCACAGCTCAACTGGGATTCTACAGTCAGGAGATTTGCATTGCTGTTTTGTCTGGGACTCGAAAGGTCTGTCGCTCCTCTACTTTGTGCGGAGCTAGGACACACACACATAGTACAACTCAAGTACAGGAAACATGAGGACAATATTAGATTAGGACTTTGTTCACAAACAGAATTCTCAGCAGAAAACCTGAAATCTACAACATACTATAAAATGATTAAAAAAAAAAGTAAATGGACTGTACTTATATAGCACCTTTCTATCTTATCGAGATACTCAAAGCTCTTTACACTACAATCTGTGCCTCATTTACCCATTCATACAGCACTCTACTAGATCTCTACAAAGATAATTGAACAAATCATTCTAATGAGACTAATCAGAGCTTTAGATCACATTCATACACTGATGGGACACACATCAGAGGCAATGAGGGGTTCAGTGTCTTGCCCAGGGACACTTCAGCATGTGACTGCTGGTGGATTCGAACCCCCAACTCTTGCATTGGAAGACGACTGCTCTAACCACTCAGCCACATTCGCCCAGAACATGGAGGTATCGATAAAAACAGGATTTTTTTTTCTCAGGCATCACTGTAAGTCTTTCAGAAGGTTGCTAAAATAGTCTTTTCTGATGGTATTATTTCTATTTTGTTGTCTGACATCCTACAATTGAATGTTTTTTACATAATTATAAGTAAAAGACCTACAATGGAGCTGAGATTATTTTACAGAGATGGGCGTATCTGTCCAGAGGACCACTTTGATCTGCAGAAAGCTGGGATTAATGGGTGGGTGGCAGGAAAAAGATGTTGCTTAAAAACACAAGTTAAACACAACACCAAAGGGCTTATTGGAAACTCCCTAAATGTGTGAAAGAAGACGATGCAAAAAAACAGAGCTTTTTGTTCATCAAGTATGATGTCATGTCTGGTTCAAACCAACACCTATCATCATCCCTACATTAAACATAGTGATGGCCACATTATGATGTGGGAATGTTTATTTTTTATCTGTAGGGACTAGGAAATACTCAACCAGGTTGAATAAAAGATAGAAGGAAAAAAAATTATTTATTATTGAGGGAATCCTTTTTGATTTTTTCAGAGTTTTGATACTAGGACAGAGGTTCAGCAGGACAATGACCCTAAACACACCGGGGGGAGAAAAGTTATGGATGCTCAGGGTTTTCTAGTTTTATTTTTTGTCTTATTTCAGGCTGTTTTACTGTAAAAATACTTTGCATGTTCACATTGTTATTTAAGTGTAAATTAAAAAAGATACAACTCACATATTTCCTTTAAAATTCTAGGATGGAAGGCAACAAAAACATACTGAAACCCACTGCATCTCCTTAGTACGGGTGAAAGTGATAGTGTACATTCATTGTAACCAAGGACACTTTTTTTCTGAGTGGGGCCTTTAATCTATCAATACTTCAGAACTGTTATATAAAATGTGGCATGGAGGCTGCACAGTTGCAGAAAGAAAAGCTTTGCAGAGAGTGGTGAAGCTGCACAGAGGATGTTGGAGTCAGCCATCTACACCTCCAGATGCAGGAAGAGGGCCACCTGCATCATGAAGGACCCCACTCACCCAGCACACACACTTTTTGCCCCGCTCCCCTCAGGAAGGAGGTTGAGGAGCTTTAAGTGTAGAACCACTAGACTGAGGAACAGCTTCTACCCTGAGGCTGTTAGACTCATGAATCTCTGATCAGGATAATCACTGTGAAAAATCACATGTTGCTGCTGATCCGTTTCATGTTGATGTGTTCATGCGTGCTCATTTGCTCACACAGACTCATGTTCGTGCTGCTGTTTGGTGTAATGTTTTTATGCTATTAGTGCTTAGTGTATTTTTAGTTGATGTTTTTCTTAGTTCATATCTTAAAACTTATTACTGTTTTTCTTTTACATTTTAATACTTTTGTTGGATGTAACTGGGGCCCTGTGTACACAAGTTTGTTCCACCACGACCAATAAAGAACCTTGAATCCTTGAATATAGAAATATATGTTATAGAAATATATTCCTGGCAAATGTAAAGGCAATGTCACCCACCACAAGAGGTCATTACAATCTGCTGAAAGCAAAAATACTGGCTTAAGACTTGTAGTCTCTTCTCAAAATATGGGAATCAAGAGATATGGACTTGCATGGACTTTGTTGTTTTCAAACAGTTTGACATGAATGTCAACAAGGAAGAGGGCCGGCAGTGGTGGAGGGGGCATACCAAAGAGACCATCTTGGCACCAACAAAACTGGTCATCCAGAAGAACTGGTCTATACGCGACTCAGCTTCATCTTCCATTTTTACTACATCCATCCATTATCTTTTACCCGCTTCTTCCATTTTGGGTCACGGGGGTCGCTGGTGCCCATGTCCAGCAATCACTGTGCGAGAGGAGGGGTACACCCTGGACAGGTCTCCAGTAGAGACAAACGAGACAAACAATCATTCACTCTCTCACTCACACCTAGGGAGAGAACATGCAAACTCCACCCAGAAAGGCCCCCGGACCGGGATTTGAACCAGGGACCTGCTCGCTGAGAGGCAGCAGATCTACCAGTTGCACCCCCGTGCTGCTCCCCATTTTTACTCTTCTCTCGTAAGTCTTTTTCAGACATAACTTTCTGTCAGCTCTTCAAGACCTCATTTCTGTCATAAGTGCAATCATTCAACAGAGCCTAATCAATGACCTGCTGGTGTTTAACTAAAATCATCACTTTGTAACCATGTTCTCTGTTTTCACATCACAGACAGACCTTCCATTGCTTCCAGTTGCTACATTAGTGATGGGCCTGGATAACAGAAATCTGTTTGTTTTATGGCCAGTTTTAGCAAAGCCGACTCCACACCAACCTGTTTCTGACGGAGCTTTCTGCATCAGTTTCATCCAAAAATGTATCAAGTGTAGACATCTCACTAATCTGAGACGCCTGATCATCTCTGGACCCTGCTGCTACGTTACACTGCCAAAAACACAGAGACAGACAAGATTTATAAAGTGGACACTAAATAAGACATTATAAATGACACATATTTGTGTTGACAGTGTGAACTTGGTGTTACAGATCTCTGCCTGTGTTATATTTACCGGCTCTATTTTGTGTATGCTGAAGTAGCGTTCATTGCACAGAACTGTGGACGTATTGCTGTACTGTTTTGTGAGTAAATTGAGCCACTGAGTCAGTCCATCCACCATAGCCAAAATGATGGCCCACAAGAAGCGCAGAATGTCCAAGATCTTCTGAACCATCTCACCATGAACTGCAGCACACATGTTAAAAAAGAAAGAAGAAAAACCACTGAATTAGTAAGAACTACAAAGTAACAACAGGTTACAATTTGTGAATAAACCAGTATGTTTGTAGTGAAAATGTTCCTACCAGACTCTTGTTCCTCAAGCTCCTCTTCCTCCTCTTCCTCCAAAATATCATTCTCACAACCTACACACAAACATGACCAAGAACATAAGATAAAAGCAAAACTGCTGACAGTTTTATATCATTTTCTCTTTGTTGTATTATATCATTTGTCATAATAATAGACTTGAAGATGATCTGTCCTTTATGTCATCAGGTTTTTTCAAACTATCAATAAATTTGGTTTTATTTGTTTTTTTTTCATAAAACACCAATTCACCTCAAATGTCATCATTACGAAGAAAAAGGTGCAATTCAAACAAGACTACAGCAT